ATTTTTTTAGTTCTCGGCGGACACAACATCTTTGCTATGTGGTGCTGAGGATCGAACCCGGGCCGCACGCATGCCAGGCCACCGCGCTACCGCTTGAGCCACATCCCCAGCCCGATGTGGGTTTATTTTCAAGTTTCTCCTTTCGACCTCAGGCTGAGAATGTTGAGGTAGGAGACTAATATTTATGTACCTTATGTCCTGTAAGCTGTGTTGAATGCAAATCTGGTCTAATTAAGGATTTCATTATGAAAACCAAACCTATAGTATTTGAGAAGAAAATGTTGGCCTACGTCTTGCTGACCATGAATGTGGCAATGGTGTCTGGAAAACACTGCTGAAAGCAGAGTTTAGAGAAGACAGACTGGATGGTCAGGAAGTCATCTCCTTTTGCCTCAAAAAACATGAATGGTGTACAACAGGAAGAAGGAGCTAGCAGAATAAGTGAAAAAAGTTTCTATTATCTGGAAACCTTCTTATGCCCAGAGTTTTTGAAGAAGCTTTTTCCATAACTTTTGAATTGTGCTCCAATCAAGATGGGATGCGCTGAGGATGTAGCTCAAGGGGTAGCGCGCTCGCCTGGCATGTGTGCGGCCCGGGTTCAATCCTCAGCATCACATACAAACAAAGATGTGTGTCCGCCAAAAACTGAAAAATAAATATTTAAAATTAAGAAAAAAAAAGATGGGTACGCATGTATCACTGCAGTGTGCTGACTTTATAACTTCTTTGGATAAAAACGCAAAATGGTACAGCTGGCTGCAATGGTGGTTCCTGTCCCTGTTTTTCAGAAACCTCCATAGTGATCTCCTCTGTGGCTGTGCTAACATACCCTTTTACCAAATGTGTCCAAATGTTCCTTTCCCCAACATTCGCCTGATTTTAGCCGTTTTGGAAGTGGGATCAGCCTTGCTGTGATATGCCTACTATATGGTTTCCACTTCTATTTTTTAAAATTTCATGCATTCAAATGTAGATACAGCTAAAGATACATGCCAGTGGTGTAAGGTGATGCAATACAGTGTGTGAAATGACATAGGGTTCCCTTTATCTTTGGAGCTGGCATTGTGGCTGAACAGTTCAATTCTCTGCACCATATAAAAATGAACTAAAGATATGGTGTGTCCACCTACTACTAAAAACTAAATATTTTTTTTAAATAAAAAAATCTATATGAAAGAGGATAGCTGCATGTGAATGGAGGAAACCCTCCTTGTCAAGGTGCTCTCAGGTCATACATCTTGGGGCCTAAATACGAGACATGTAGAATTTTGTTTTCTTGCCTTTTTGTGTTGAAAGGAGGAATTAAAAAAAAAACAAAAAAAAAACCCGGGGCTGGGGTTGTGGCTCAGTGGCAGAGCGCTTGCCCAGCATGCATGAGGCACTGGGTTCAATTCTCAGCACCACATACAAATAAAAAAATAAATAAATAAAGGTCCATCAACAACTTAATTTTTTAAAAAATTGGAAAACAAACTCTATTGTTACTTTAGCATGGAATTATTTATGTATGTGTGCATATATATATATAGGATTTTATGAGGAAAAAACTATTAATAAACAGGAAATATTTGCAAAAATTAGGCCAGTACATTAGACCTTTGTAAATGGTTTAAAAGTTCTTGAAACCCAAGTATTTCAAATATTTTATGACAATACCAAACACTCCCCAGGAATCAGAAGGAAAAATACGGTGTCTAAACACATTGCATAACTTAGTCAAAATTGAGTGCGATGTTATTATAGTATCTCAGGCATCAAGCTTCCATCGATGGACTGAAAAATTAGACTTGAATAATGAAAAGATTATGTGTGCTCCACATGATGTTTGATGATAGCGGTATTGTTTAAACCAGAACAGGGCTATTTTCTGAATCCCTTGCAAGTTTCTTGTCCTGGTTACCAAGGAGAAAAGATCACTAGGTGAAAATCAGCAATACACATACAGGATAAAGCCAGGGGAAGCAGACACAGGCCATTTTACAATATGGGAAAATGCTTGTGCTCTAGAGTCAGATGATGAAGTCATGAGAGAACATCTGTCAATGCACATGTCACTGCTGGTGGGATTGTAGAGCACATAAAAATAAATGCAATCCAAGTGCAACTTGGCCTCAAAAACGGCATGCCTGTTCTTGCTCCCAGGGGAAGAACACAAGGCTGGTACCTTCGAGCCTGCATTAGCCTTTTTGTTTCTTTCTCAACACACTACAGAGGTGGTTTATTTTACTGAGTTGCAAAGTTTTCATTTTGATATTAATTGAAATGTTCAACGACTGACTCCTTCCCAGATAATTAATACTTATTTCTGTATCTTTGTAAGTCCAGGGCATGAGGGAAACAATAGTTGTCCACCTCCCGTTGAGGACTCACATCCAGCAGTGGATGGGGTGCCCCAGGATCCACAAGTGGCTTATAGTGGGTGACAGAAACCTGTTCTTCTGGGCTCAGTAATTGCAAGGAAGGGCACTTTTCAGTAGCTGAGCCACAGAAAGCCTCATATTCTTGCAGGTCAGTAACAACAGGTCCTCCAGAGCTGAAAACTGGAAATATCTCTTGGAGTGGCAGCCAGTTTCTCTCTGACATCCTAAGAGCCATTTCCAGCTATTCTTCTCCAAGAGGGCCCCCAGCCACAAGGATCGAGACCTTCGAACATCCTCAGGTAGCCCAAGAAGCTAGTTCCAAGGGCTGTGGCCTATGAGGCAACTTCCTGGCCCTGAGGCACTTGGGGTCCAACTTGCTCATCTATTACATGACCAAGGCTCAGGTCGCTCACCCTGCTGGGCAGCTGAGCCCACCTCAGCCCATGATGCGTGCAGGCACAGCTGTGGCTGAACACCTAGTTCTGATGGCGCTGGCTGCTTCCTGCCACACAGAATCTGCTCTCCCCACCAGGTGGCTCTGGGCTGCAGCAACCACACAGGAAACAGCTGTCCTGTCTCAGGTTCTCCCAAAAGAGGTGCTGGCAGCTGCTGCTTCAGGGAACTGAGCCCCTGCTCCCGTTGGGCACCTTGGGCCAGGTTGACCTCCCTGCAGTACCCTTAGTGGGTCCCTCTGCTCCAGTCCATACAGCTCCCTATGGGCACCCCGCCTCAAGGCTTCCTGTGACACCAGCTCCTGGCTACTGCTCGTACCCATAGGTCCTCTGGCTGTCCAGGTTCTTTGCTCCGAGCATGTCAGTGCCCAGGTCTCCCTCAGGACCCTGGGAGAAGGCAAGGAGGCCAAGATGGTGCCCAAACCACATGGAACTGGATCCACAAAACATAGATCTTCCCCCACAGCTGGGCCTCCTAGGAAGGAGGCTTGAATGGCACAGGGCATTTGGCTCACAATGTTATTTCTATCGTGATTCTGCCTCAGACAGGCTTTGCCCTTGTTTCCCAGGAACAACTGGAAATTGTGGTGCCAGTGCAGCAGTTTCCAGCTCCTCTCTCATTTTTCTTCCATTTGAACTCAGACCAAGGCCTGAGTACCATCCTCCCCTGGGCCTCTCCTCTCTCTGATGGAATGTTCAAGGGGGCCCTGTGAGAAACTGATGTGACTTCATTTTGAAAAACCAGCTTCTACCTCAAGGCCTGGCCAGAGGGTTGGGGCGTGACCCTTGTCCTTGGGAAAACCCACAGAGCACTCCTGGAGATCTGCAGTGCCAGGTATCCCTGACTCAGTTCCCACCAATCAGCATGAGACAGGGAAAATATCTGAAATGCCAGGTGACCCTCCAGTAGTTTCAATGATAAATAACATGATTAGGCCACCCTGCAGTTTAACATATACACTCTTGGGGAGAAATGATCCTTGAGCAGGATGAATGCTAGAATCCCTGCTGGCCTTGGAGCATGGTCACAAACCACTTGGATTGGAGAGTTGTTGGCTAG